TTGAAAAAAATCTTTAATCTATGCATATTTTAAATATAATTGTTACTTAATCATAATTATATAATTCATAAAGTTAAAAAATTTTGTAAATTTTACTATATATATATGAATTGATAATATAGATTTATTATTATTCAAATGTTTTATTTAGAATAATTTAAATAGGAAATACAAATTTATTATATTTCATATTATTTTTATATACAAATTTAAATTAAGAAATTTAAAGTAATATAATGGAAATTTTAAAAGAAAATATTTAGGAGTTATTTGATTTGATAAAAAAATATAATATTAGAATTTATTTAGACATTTTCAAACATATTGCTAAAGATCAATAAAATAAAATTTAGTTCATTATTCTATATAAAATTTAGCATCACCTAAATATATTAATGATGAAAATTAATATTTGTAAAAGGATAGTCTTTAAAATTTTCTTTTAAAAATTTTAATTCAATTTCCGTTTTAAGTTATATTATTAGATTGATCAAGGCATTTACTAATGTGATATTCGTAGAAATCCTTTCTGGAAGTATAAGAACATGAATAAAACAATTTATAATTAATCATACTTTTTTCTTTTATTACAGGAATCTAAATACAGAAAAACCTAGATTTTCGCTTTGACTGCGTATTCTGACATTCTATAAATATATAAATATTATACATGTTCAATTAGGGCTTTTTAACATGGTACTTTTGGAATTTAATTTGATCGTTGCTTTTCATCTGTTTCAGATTCCTCTAATATGACCTCATCAGGTGTATAAATAGCTAATTTTTGTTGTTGAATTTTAGGTCCTTTAGGAGGTTCTAGGATTAATGGTTCAACTATTTGTGGAGATTATTTAGCCCTAATCAATATAAAAATTATACTTTAATGCAGGAGTTGGAGGTGGTTGATCATGAGTGTCTAAATATTCTTAATATGTCATTGAGGAATTATATCTCTGTCTGATTACTGTTTAATAAAGATCATCCATAACAATTTTATTTTAATAATTGATTAGTGAAGTAATTATGTATTCTACTATAAAATTATATAAAGTAAGAGGAATTTCTAAATATAATCTCTGAAACCAATACTTTATTGTTAAATAATATAGGTGAGAATTAAATAAAAAAATAATGTTAAAGGTGTTAGTGATAGAATTTTGATTAATATGAGGTTATTCAATAGGGATTTGAAAATACTAGTTAAAATTCGAATTAGTTTAGAATTAAGTAATGAAGTTTACTATAAATAAGTTAATACTAAAAATAACAATTAAATTGTTTATACTAAAAAAAATAAATTTAATTCTAAATGAACTGAGATTTAATAAAAAATGACATGGAGTTAAGTCTTTAGTTCTGTTTTTAATCAATTAAAGAAAAGTTATTTATATTAGTAATAAAAGAATCAAGAAAAAAAATCAGTAAAAAGGTATTTTTTATAATCAATCTAAAGAATTTGAATTATGATACTATTTTTTTAAAGGTTTTCAGTATCATATATATAAAATTTTGATTATCATTAAATGTAACTATAGTAATTAGATTAATCCATTATGATAATTTAGTCTAGAAATTCAGAGAATAAAAATGAATAAAAAGATTCTTAAAACTATTTTATGTTATATTTGTTCATTAAACAAGATCTATTTAAAATAATGTAATCATGATTAACATATAAATAATATCAAGCTACTTTATTTACAGAATACACTTCAGTGCTTTGGCTATGATTTTTCTAAGATTTCATTTCTTCAACTTTGGATTATCCTTTTAATTCATTTTTTTATCTATTCAGATACAATTCTATCTTATTTAATGATGATAATAATGGAAATTCTGTGATATATGATTGGATTAGATATTTTTTCAATTATGGTGATTATGTCACATTCTAAGAAGAGCTAGATAAAAGACTTACAAAAATATTATTTTTCTAGTTTTCCTCATCTAAATTAGCTTAAAGGAATTATATTCCTAAAGGCTTCTTACTTTCATGAGGAATTTCAAATTTTTATGGAAGCATCTATTTTTTAAAATCAAGGTAAGCAGATTTATTAATTCTTGTGTCAAGACGATAACCTTTCATTTTATGAGTGTTTTTCATTGTTTAATTATAAGTATTAAATATTAAGGCTAACTTATTAATATTGATCGATATATATACTAAAGCATTCAAGCAATTATTATAAATAATGATAGATTAAGAAAGCTATATTTGTTTTAGAAATAAATTGAAATAATTGAGATGTAATACTTTATAAATTGATATATCAAATATGTGTTTAAACATTTACATTTTATATTTTGTTTGGATATTATAAAATATTTGAAATAAATTTATATTTATTTTAAATTATTTAATCAAAATTGCAATCAAGGTTTGCTAAAAATCAATACTAAAATGAATAGTAAATATTCCAGTATTTATTATTGTAATAGTAAATGAGAGTAAAAATAATGAAGAACTTCTTTATAATTTTATAAATAAATGTAAAATATTTATAAATTAAAACTAATTCATATATATATATAAGTTTAAATTTGAATTTAAGGATGTTGTAAGTTTGCATTAGAGTTCGTCCTCTTTTAAAACATGAAAAAAATGCATAATGGTTCGTCAATAAGAATAATATTAACTCTTCGAATAAATCTTTTACATTTGACTAAGTAGAATGTGAAACAAGGACTTAAACTCTTTATAATAAAATTGCCAAATAGAATGTCAAAAAGGCGCTTAATGGCTATCATACAACAATAATGTGTTATGGATAAACTACATCAGGAAAAACATTCACAACCTTAGGTACTCATGATAATCCAGGAATATTACCTTGTGCCTTGAGAGATGTTTTTTTAGATGATAATGTTAAATGTTCAATCTAATATGTTCAAATATATAATGAAGTTATTGATGATCTTTTGGATCCAAAATGTACATCTTTGTAAATAATTAATGATTAAAAATGGGGTACATCATTGTAATTGAAATAAACCCCAGTAAAAAGCTTTGATTAAGCTATAGAATTATTAAACGAAGGAGAAGAAAGAAGAATATACAGAGAGACTTAAATTCATGATAAAAGTTCAAGATCACATACAATATTTAGGATTTTTATTGAAAATGGATCTAGATATTCATGCTTAAATATAGTTGATTTAGCTGGTAGTGAGAGAGTATCATCAGAAAATGATATAAATCATGAGACAGGTTATATTAATAAGAGTTTGTTAGCATTAACTAATGTAATTAATTAATTAACAGAATAAAAATAATAGCATATTTCATATAGAGATTCAAAATTAACAAGATTACTTTAGAATTCATTAGGAGGTAATTCTATTACAGTTCTAATATGTTGTATATCTCCAGGAAACAATACATAAACCTTGTCAACATTGCAATTTGCACAAAGAGCAAAGATAGTTAAAAATACTCCTATTATTAATGGAGAGAAACAGACTTAAGAATTGTAAGATTAACAATTTTAAAGTTCTTCTTATTCAAATTTCAACATTTTTACATATGCTTAATCTTAAAAATAATCAAGCAAGAATTCATTTTAAGCTTTTATCAAATTAGAACAAAAGTATTAAAAAAAATATTGTGAACTTCTTTAATAATATTATAAGGAATTAAATAAATTATAAATAAATGAATAAGATTTATAAGATGTAATATCAATTTTGGAAAGAAATATTTTAACACAACTAGAAGAGATGAAATAAAGTATATCTGATACAAATAATGAAGATTAATAATATAAACTTTTAATTTGGGGATCTGGATAAGATGGAAGATTAGGATTAGGTGATGAAAAAACTTGTAAAATTCCAACAGAAATTAGCAATTATAAATTTTCATAGGTTAGTTGTGGATTCCACCATACTTTAGCTATATGTAATGGTTGCATTTATGCTTGGGGAAGAGGTCAAAAAGGATAGTTAGGATTAGGAAATTTTGAAACTATTCTTAGTCCTACAAAAATAGATAACTTAAAAAATGCTACTTAAATTGCTTGTGGATGGTAACATAGTTTGGCTATTTGTGATGGTAATTTATATACTTGGGGTTGTGGAGATGATGGATAATTAGGAAATGGAGATTGTCAATCAATAAATTAACCTATTGCTATTTAAGAAGATGTTGAATTTATATATGCTGGTCATTCATAAAGTGGATTTATGAAAGAAGGAATGTTATATACTTTTGGAAATAATTAGGATGGAAGATGTATGATTGATTCTTTAGGAATTCTTACAGAACCAGAATAAGTACCTTTGAATGATATTAAATCAGTAAGTCTAGGTGTGTCTCATATGGGAGTTGTTACTAATGATGGATGTGTTTATATGGCTGGAACTTCTATTGATGGTTAATTAGGAACTTTTAGTACAGATGACGAAGTGGCTACTTGGTTTACTTAATTAGATAAATTTAATAGTTCAAATAGAGCTTAATAAATTTAATGTGGAGATTCATTTACTTTAGTTTTAAATACAAAAGGAATTATATATGCTTTTGGAAAGGGCTCATTTAAACGATTAGGATTATCAACTACAGACAATATTTATGAACCTACTCCTTTGCCTATCTAAGGCGATATGATATATGCTGGATGCAGACATGCTTGTTCAATAACAAAGAATGGATAAGCATATATGTGGGGATTTAATTTTCATAATCAACTTGGTCTTGGATAAGATGATTTAGATTAGGAACCAATTTTATTAAAAATTAATAATATTAAATAAATGTCACTTGGTTATTTTCACTCTGCCGCTTTAGTTTCAAATTGATTATATATTTAAAATTAGATAATAAATTAACTATTTTTTATATGTTTTTTATTAATTTATTTTACTATTTTATTAATCATATTGTTGATTTATTTAATGAGTTAACTTTCATTCTTTTTTAGATAAAATATTCAAATTAGATTTTTACTTTAAATTTTTTAAATAAAAACAATTAAATTTTATAATCTGCTTTTAAATAATATTCAATTGATTTTCATCGTGCCGCTATTCAAACATTAGGGACAATAATAATTTTAAGATTTATTATACTTCTCGTCAAAAATGCAATAAAATTAACATAAATTTGATGAACATTATTTAATAAGATATTTTTTTTATGATTTAAGATTTATCATTAATTAATTGATTTCTACATTAAACTAAGACTCTTTATAAGCTTTACCTATAGAGTCCATCTAGTTCAAAATACTACCTGATAATTTTGATCCGCATTAATCACATTTAGCAATATTTTTACTTACAAAAGCATCTTTTATTATATCACAAACTCTTTGTTCATCTAAAAAATGTCCACATTAATTTTTCAATTTTCTTTAGTTGTTGTTAATAGATTAGTTTTATTATATTTCATTTTATGAAGGTTCTTAAAAATTTGATTATTTTGATATATCAATTTACGTATTCAAATTAACATTTTCATATTTTGTAATAGATGATTTTTACTAAATTTCCGTATTTTTATCATTAGAATCAGATTATAAAATTTGTGATTTGATTTAATTATTTTATTATTACATTTTATCAGGTTTTTATTTTAATTCATATTTTTTTTCTTATATTTCTTAACATTATTTTAAATAATTATTATCTTATTATAATCTATCATAATTTTATTTTAATTAGATATAATCTTATTAAATTTTATCATAATCTACTTTTATTTTTTAATATTTGCATATAGCTTATTTCAATAAATAGTTTAGAATTTAATTTTACTCTTATATCAAATTATCTCCTTAATATGATTTTGAATTCTCAATTGGCTTTTCAACATCTGGATTTTTTTAACTCTTAACTACTATCACAGAATTATATTTTTGTTCATTATTACTATTATTCTTCTAAGAGGTTTTGATTTATTAGTTTATTTCAGATGTAGGATGAATTGCTGATTGATTTTATATATTTTTTTGATTTGATACTGTTTGAGATTGAGATGGTTGATTATTAATTTGATTTTATTTTTTGTCATTTTATACTACTTATGTGTTTTATTTATTAATTTATTCTTACTAATTAATTCTATAACCAAAAACTCTGGTTGGCAATATATCAAGGCATTCATATAGTAAAAATGAGTTGTCATCTATTCGGAATTAGTCATAATATAAAGTTAAATTTTAAACTCCTTGTTTTTCTTTAATGTATGTAATAATATGATTAATAGTAGTCTATTCAGTAATTCGCATACTTTATTATGATTAAGATGAAGGTAAATCTATATTGTAGAAGGTAATTAATTTTGATAGATTATTATTAGATACTGATGATGCTCCTCCCATAAATTATTATAATATAATAAATTTTAATATAAATAATAGAATAACAATTAAAACCCAATTAAATAATTTTTAATACAAATGGAAAATCATTAATTTTTTTTGTAAATTATTATATCTTAGTAGCAATTTGGACAAAACCCTCTATTAATTTTTTAATATTTATTCCAAATACAAAAAAAATTGCAATATTAGCATTTCTAAATATCATGATTTTGAATTAATGAATTTTTTAGAATTTTAAGCTCTAATAATAATAAATTAGTATGATATTATTTTTCCAGTGTTTTAATCTATGAGTACATAGATCTAGGTATTTTTTAATTACATTTCTGACAAGTAGCTATTTAATTTTAAAATATGGCATTTTTAAGAATAATTTTCAGCTCTTAACTATTGTAACTATGCTAACATTTACATAGAATTGATTTTATTGTTGATTCAGATTAATTTAAACTAGGGTTATAATAATTAAGACTTTTTTTAATTTTCTATTATTCTTGTTTATCTATTTAAATATCAGTTGAACTATTATTTTGAGAGATTTTACCATAGGCTTATTACTTATATAGATCATTTTTTATAGAACCACTTTATTAATAGTGTGTTTTATGTAAATCCTTTATTTCTTACTGTTGATGATCTGATTAGAGTTTGTCTTTCATATTTATTAACCAAGTTGATGAATCTCTTCCACTTAACTTTTTATCTAATCCAGGGCTTTCATTATCTTCTTCAATATTACTTGAATACATGTTATTTTAAGTAGCTTTATAACTTAATTATTAAACCTTAAGCTTTTATAAGAATGGCAATAAGTATGTATTTTTACTTACATTAATTGGATTGTTATTATGATATAATGTGATTTTGCATTGATTTTTATGTTATTATTCTAAATACAGTAGAACATCCAATATTGATGTGTCATCTTTAGCTCTAATTGATTTTGATACTTTTTCATTTGAATCTATGTTGTTCAAAATTATCAATTTACAAATTGGACTAACACTTCTTTATAAGTTCAATTTGATATTTAATTAATTGATCTACTAATTACCTCTTTATCCTTCAAATTAATTCATTATTATAAATCAATCAACTAATCTTATTAATATAATTATATTGAAATATAATATTAATTCAGCTTTAATCATTACTTAAATAATCTTTATTCTTATAAATAGTATAAAAATACACAATTCAAATGTAATTCAATTATGATATAGAAATATTTATTTATTTTTATTTCTTAAACGATTAATTTATAAAAATGAAACTAGTCTATTTCTCATACAAAAATCTTCAATAATTACATAATCTTATTGATAATAATTCATATTAAATAACTTTTTATTGATAAAAAAAAATAAGAGAGAAATATATATTTATATACATTTTATTATTTAATTATACATTTATTAGACATATATGGCTACAAGATAACATACTAATCCTAATGATTCAAAGAAGAAACCTAAAGATGACAAGAAAAATAGTGATAAAACTTAAAAAAAAAAAAAAGTAAAATCTAAATCAACAGTGGATCAAGAATAAGTGTTAAATTTAAGATAGAGTTTTGAAACCTTGATTAAAAACAAGTAATAATTTACTAAAATTAGAGAGGATCTTGAAAAGATAATATAAAATTAACAAAGTAAAATCTAGGATCTGAAATAGAATGAAAAAAATTTATTAGAGGAATTGAAAAGACAAGGAGATATTGCAAGGGAAGCACTCAATAAATTGTATTATTATTAATAAGAAAATAATATAGAGAGAGAAAAGCTGAAAAAATATTATGAAGGTATTCAACCGTTAATTTAATAGATTATTATAAAACAAAAGAATAAGAAGTTATTTAGAAGTATGAAGGATTGATGCAATAATCTAATATTACATTGTCTGATTATTCAAAGAAATTTAAAGACTTTGCAGTTAAAGAATAGAATTACTAAGAAGAAATTGAATTGTTAAAGAAAACATCAAAGAATATTTAAACTCCTAGAGATAGAGTAAAATTGATTGAAATATTGTTTGCTAGAATTTTTAATAATAATTGAATGATATGGAATTAAAACTTAATTAAGCCAATAAAAATAATGAATAATTGAAAATGCTATAAAGTGAGAATTCCAACTTATACATGAAAATTGGACAATATGAATAATAATTGATTAAAAAAAATGAAAAAGAAAAAACCTTAAAAGAATAATTTAGTAAACAAATAACTGATTTACAATAAGAAATAAAGGTAATTATTTAATTAATTAATGATTCTTTAGTATTGGAAAAATGAAATGGATAAAGTAATAAGATAGAATAAAGCTGTCATTTCTAAATTAACGCCATAAAAGTTAAGATATTGATTATAGTAGTATTTATTGATTATTGATATTTGATCATAAAGATTAATTTATTCTTTTATTAAATAAATTTACTTATAAATAATGAGTTAATTTTAAAGAATGAATCGAAAACTAGATGAAGGTTGGAAATTGACTACTATGGTGTGTGAATGTAAAGGAACATTACTTATATTTCTTGAAAACAGAAATTTATATTGTCCTAAGTGTGATATCATAACTTAAGATTAAGTGATTCTAGATTAAGATCATTAAGATATTCAAAATAAAACTAATTAAAGTGGATCTGAATCAAAACCAGAGATTATTCAAAAAAAGAATAGTAGAGATTATGATTCAGATGATTTCTATTTTGATGATTAAGTAGAAGATATTAATTCAAGATTATTTGTAAACAAGGCAGCAGCTGATGAAGCATCAAAAAAAATAGGTTAATTACTTTTATAGGGATGGACTATGTTGAATGAGTCTTGTATAGAATGTTTATAACCAATAATGAAAAGTAAATAAGGTGTTAAATTGTGTGTCTAATGTAATAGAGAAGAAAAATAAGATTAATCAAAAATAATAGAACCAAAATCTTAAGTTTAATAACAAAAAGAGATATCTACATAACTACCAGTCTAATAAGTCTAATTGCAAAATTGTCAAATTTAATAAGAAAAATAAATAAATGATCTTAAAAATCAACCATAATTAGAATAGAAAATTTAAAATTTTAAGGAATAATAGGAAATATATAAAGAGGAAGCTTAATTATTAGTTTCATAATAGTTGAAATTATATTATGAAAAATTGTAATTATCAATTAATGATATTAACTTTTATAATTTAACCTTTATTTCTGATGAAATTAATAGGATTGAGGAATAGCTTGGATAAACTTTAAATAAAAATGTAGATTTAATGAATATAAGAATCAAAACATTAAAGATTTTAACAGATAATCATGAAAAATTAATGTAATAAAATTCATTTGAAAGAGCTTCAAAATTTATGGGCATAATTTTAATAATATATAAGATTGTATAAAAGCAATGAAAAATTACAATTATTTAGAAATATATTGTTATTTATTATATCTCTAATCTACCTTAAATATAAACTATTTAATAATATAAATATTTATTTAAAATATTAACTATTATTATTCAATATCATTACTCCTTTTATTATAAATTTTCTATTGGATCATGCAATCTTGATTTTCTTTCTCTTTTCTCAGGAACTCCTTATTTATCTGGAATCAAATTATTATTTTATTCAAGTTATTGTTTCGATTCTTTAAATGATTTATTAGATTGATATTAATTTGATGAATTATCCTTACACAAAACATATTAATATTATTATTTTTAATCAAGAGAATCTTCCTTTTATTATTGTCTTTCTCTCACTGATCCAAAATTACCATTTTATTTATAGTTATTATTTTTATTATATTTTTATCTATCATTATTAAATTTATGATTATTATTTTGATAATTAGGATAATTTGTATGTCTATTGTAATTATTATATTAATTTTTCTAATTAGTCTGGCTATATTATTATTTATAATCTGTAGATTATTCTTTTTTATTTTCTATTTAATGATTTTCATCCTAATTATTATATTAGTTTCTTATTCTATTTTGATAACTTTATTATTATTAGAATGTTTATTCTTTGAAAGGATTTTATGCTTTATCATTTTATCTGTAGTTATTATACGATTCAAAGTTTCTTGGATCATCCTAATTTATTTTGTTATAGTTTCTGTTATCATTGAGACTTCTATTATTTATTTACTAATTTCTATTTTAATTAGATTCAGATTAGTATGCAAGACTATTTCTATTATTCTAATTATTATAATTATTTTATCTATCTTCTCTAATTGATCTATTTAATCTTTCATTTTAACCATTATTTTACTCTTACTAATAAGAATTAAATTTATTTCTTGGTATATTCCTATTTTAATTTTAATTATAAATTTAATCTCTGTGATAATCATGACTTTATATTTATGACTATTATTCCAATAACTATCCTTTTTAGTTATTTCTTTGTTAAAATGATATTTGATGTAATTACATATTATTATCTTTAACATACTTTTAAAAATGTTATTGATGTTCTTTCAAACTTCCTAAAGTTTATTTCATAGATTAAGATTAATCATTGGAATTCAAATTTTACTCAAGATTTTCATTCTCTTAATATGAACTTTTTTAGTATGATTTTTAGGTTTAAAATTCCCATTTTTACATTTCTTCCTCAGAGATAGTTTCAGGATAATAGATATTTTTTTCTTTATTTACTTCTTCTTTATTCATATTATATCTTGTATATACACCATCCTTTACAAATACCCATCCAGCAGGAGATCCATTATTATCATAATAACATCCATTATAATCTGCCCATCCCTCATTTTCATCTAAAAGATAAATTTAGTTTGGATTGCCCAAGTAAAATCCATTTTTAGTCTCATTATATTGTTCAAATTTAGAAGGGTTATGCTCTAAAAATTTTAGATTAAAATCTAATTATTTATTCATTAAAATTAATGTAATAAGCTTGTAATAACTTTATTGCAGATCCCAATGATACTAGTTTTGGATTCTAAATAAAATGCAAAAATTGCTAATT